TGAGCCATGCTACCTCTGAGACAGCCTGTAGCATGCATGTGGGTAAACTATCTTCTCCCAGGCTCTGTGATTGAGGTCTGGCCTGGAAGAAACAAGCATAAGTGACAGGCACTTCTGCCAAGCCTGGCTCTACAGCTTCCTGCACAGGTCTCTGGGCAGCCTCTCTCTTGAATTGCCAGAAGCATACCTGCACAGCACTCACTTGAGGGTCTGAGAAGTCCCAAGGCATGGTTGCATCATGGGATAGAGGGAGAGCTCCTGAGGACAGCTGCCAGTCAGGAACGTCTTTACAGAGTTTCGACCATGAGAAAATATTTTCCACTACATGATTATTTTTCACTAGGATCTGTTTGTCATTCAGCAAAATGTGGTGTATTTCTTTTTTAAAAAAATCATGCACCACTGTGATATGATGCTTTAACACTTTCGGGAAGATATCTAGAAAGGGACTACCTGGGTCAAACAGAACCTCTAGCTTTAGTTTTTTGAGGAATCTCCACACTGATTTCCACAGTGGTTTAACCAGTCTGCACTCCCAGAAACAATGGGGAAGGGTTCCTTTTTCCCCATAGCTTCACCGGAATTTGTTATTGGTTGATTCTTGATATCAGCCATTCTTTCTGGAGTGAGATGTAGTTTTAATTTGCATTTCTCAAATGACCAGTGATGTTGAACATTTTTTTCATATATTTATTTGCTATTTGTACTTCTTCATCTGAAAAGTTTCTATTCATTTCAGATGCCCATTTTTGGATTGGGTCTTTAAATTTGGGGGGATATAATTGTTTTTTTAGGATATAATTGTTAATTAATTGTTTTTGTTCATATGTATAATAGCATATTTTACAATACTTAAATCTTAGAAACAGCCCATATGCTCATCATGAGATGAATGGACAAAGAAAATGTGGTGTTTATATACAGTGGAGTACTATTCTGCCTTAAAGAATGATAAACTTGAGACATTTTTAGGTAAATGGATCCATCTCAAGACTCTAATCTTAAGTGGAATACATCAGACACACGAGTTTAGATATCATATTGTTTCTCTTGTGTGAGAAACCCAAAGGGTAAATAAAGAGCAAAATGAAGAACAGATATTGGGAACTAGGAAGAACTTGTTCAAATGAGGAAGGGAGCAAGGAAGGGGGAGAGGAGAAAGAAGAAACAGAAGAGAAAATGGATTCGTAAAAGACAGAATGGAAGGATGAAATGGAAACAGAGCTTTTGTAAACGGGAAAGGGAAGAAGGGTTGAAGGGAGGGGAGTGAATGGGAGAAAAGGATTAAGATATATTATGTCCGGTACAAATTTCCCATGATGAATGTCATCATTGTGTATGGCATATATGTATTAATAAAAAATAAAGATTAAAAAATAAAAACCAATCATGACTTTACAGTGGAGAACTCTGATAAAAAAACACCTTAACCAACTGACCAAGAATAACATCCCCAGTAATATGTCATACTGACATCACATTCCTCCTAATGAGATGGACTTTGAAGGGTGCCTTACTGCAAAAAGTACATAATCTCAACCAACAGAGCGAAGAGAAAAGCTACAGAATGTGAAAAAGTTGTCAGCAATTTCTCAGACAAAGGACTCAGGTCAAGAATTAAAGAACTCTGGGTGGGAGATTTAGCTCAGTGATTCCAGTGCCTGCCTCATAAGTGCAAGGACCTGAATTCGATCCTTGGTACAAAAAATAAATAAAGAAAGAAAGAACTCAAAGGGCCAGGGATTCACTCAAAGTGGCATAATTCATAGTAGCTAAATCTTGGAAGTTGCCCATATGCCTATCACTAGATGAATGGATAAATAAAATGTGGTATTCATACACAATTGAGTACTATTCAGCCATAAAGAGAGAGACGAGTCATTTGTGAGAACTCAAAGTGGCACCGAACCTTCCTTGCAAGTGCAAGGTGCTGAGTTCAATCCCTGGTACTGAAGAAGAAAAATAATTAAAGTGATAAAGAGAACTTTTGTAAATAGTCTGAAACCTACAAAACGTTAAGGAAATATAGAATAACTGCTGTCTTTCACTTCTATAATTTGCTTTGCCTTTCTTGTTTCTCAGAACAAAATACCAGAGGTTTCATTATTAAAGTTTAAAAGCATGTAGCCCCAGTTTAAAATTAACAGGTGCCAGATGTGCTTAGCCACATCCCAAGATGAGACCAGATGTTCAAGCTAAGATAACAGTCGCTAGGCCCTAAGCCCTAAAACTTTCTGTAAATCATATGACTATAAAGGAGTTAAGATAAAAGGAATGTCACTAGTCCGTGTTCCTAACCCTGACCCCTCTCTTGTGGGCTGAATAGCTAAAGATAAACACCCTGAAACAGAATGCTACATTTGAGTTAACACTGAACTGTCTTATGACCATGATTTGTGATGGGAACTGTAGGAACTGGAATGTCTTATTGAATTACTCAAAATGAGGTCATAATTGTAAAACTCCTATAAAAGGCAGATTGTAACCCAGCCCAGGGTCACTCATTTGGCACAGGCCTTGGTGCAGGCCAACCCTTTGCTAGCAAAGTAAACATTTTTTTTTTTGTTTTACCCACTTCTACATCTCTGTGTGTTATTTAGCAGTCCCTTCTGCAACAAAAGAACTAAAAAATGACACCCCCAAAATGAAAACATTCTATAAAAATGAGCAAGCAAAATGAATAGATGTTTCACAGAAAAAGTACAAATGGATAATAAATGCATCAGGAATTGCTTAATATCACTGGCCACTAGAGAAATGCAAATTAAAACACAGATTCCATCTCTCTCCAGAAAGATTGGCCATCATCAAGAAATCAAATAAGAACAAACACTAGAGAGGCTTTGGGGGAAAAGGAAAGCTTCTACTGTTGGTGTGAATATAAACTAATACAACCACTATGAAAATAAATATGGAGAATCCTTTAAAAACTAAAACTAGAAATTGCATATGACCCAGCTATTCCTCTTCTAAGTATCTTCCCAACACAGTTAAAGACATCCTATTACAGAGATCCAGGCACACCCATGTTTATAATAGCATATTCATAATAGCTAAATCTTGGAAGTTGCCCTTATGTCCATCAATAGATGAATGGATAAATAAATGTATTCATGCACAACTGAGTACTATTCAGCCATAAAGAGAGAGACAAGTCATTTGCAAGAAAATGGATATACCTTGAAACTATATTAAGTGAAATAAATCAGACACACAAACTTCAACATCACATTGTTCCTCTTATATAAGAAACTTAGAGTAAAAATAAAGAGCAAAATAAAAGAGATAATAAGAAGTCGGGAGGTAGTTTGTTCTCAAAGGGGAAGAGGATCAAGAGATGGAGGGAGGGGAAGGAAGGGAAAGGATAAGGGATGAAAGAAAGTAATTGGGATGTGTTATGTACGTGTCCCAACTCCACACAAGGAATGTAAGCATATACTAATATATCTCCAAGTCTATATGTCCAGATATATATGTATTGTGTCAATCCAATTTCAAGCAAGCTCAAACTGAAGAATGGTGTACAAAATAACTGGCCAATAAAATGAATGAGCAAGTTCTTAAAATACAGATTCTAGAACAGTCACAGTTTAGGAGAGGCAGAGGAAACATGATAATTGATTACAAAGAATTGGATCCTGGACTAAAAAGGGCATCAGAAAAAATTAATGAAATACAAATACAGTCCAGTCTGTAGGTTCATAGTATGGTTTCAATGCTCACTTCTTGATTCAGTAACTGCATTTTGGTTACATAAGATGTGCACATGAGGAGAAACTGAATTGAGAGGAATACTGAAACTCTACTGTGTTTTGCAATTTTTCAATAAATCTAAAATTATTTCAAATAAGGGGCTCACATAAATAAGAGTGAAGGGTCACCAGTTTCCTGAGATGGCTTGGATCTTAGCTATGTTCTTGATGCACTGCCAGCATCCTGGATGGTAAAGATCCATATTGTTTTACATCTTTAAACATTTTCATTACGCCAAATTTCATTCCTCCAAGTCCAACTCAAGGCTCGGCTTATTTAATTCATCCAAACCTCCATGTGCAGCAGACTCGGGGGTTTCTTTGCTGTTTGACTTGGGCTCCATGGCTTTGTTTCTCTGAGGGAAGTGATTGGGAATTCATGTTCTACCCTAAGGGTAGAACCTAAGGTACACCATAAAGGTGTAGGAAGGCGCCTTGGCCCAAGCTTGAGTCCAGATGGTTGCCTGGTGTTAGTCACTCTTCTCTTTGCTGGGACACAATATCTGACACTCACAATTTAGAGAAGGAGAGGGTTATCTTGGCTGGTGGTTGCAGTTCATGGTCAGCTGGCTGCAAAGCAGGAGGGCACAGCAGAGGTGCACAGCAGAGGAGACCTGCTCAAGGCATGGTAGACAGGAAACCAAGGGCCAAGGCAGGAGCCAGGGAAGGAGATAAACCCTTCCAGGTCACACCCCTCATGATCCACCTCTTTCAACCAGACCCCACCCCCTAACAGCAAGCCAGCTGTAAGGCCCCTATGATCCAACTGCCTTTCAGAGGTCCCACCTGTGATCACCTGAGGCTTTAGGGGGACATCTAGATGTAAACCATAAAACCAGCTAACCAGAGGATGCCCCTGCCCAGAGCTTATCCCTGGTGGGAGAATTCTGGTCTTCAGGAGACCTTCCACACACTCCTTCTGTAAGCTCCCCTGGAGAGGACCCTGTAGTGACATTCTTGCCTTCTTTACACACTGGGGGCCCTAGCCACATCTAAGATGATTGTTGAAGATCCTGATGTTGGCCAAGACCCAAGTGCTGCTGTAGCTTCTGTATTGGCACGGTGTCAACACAGGGTATACAGGTATCAAGTCCACCCCTATTTCAAAAGCAAGGACTCCACTTCTAGTCGAGAAGTGGGAGGTGGTGCTGGATGGTACCTCACAGCAAGCCAAGCCCCGCCCAGAATTGATCAGCACAGATCAGGCCAGTGAGAGCATCAGCATTTTAATAACAGACATCAGTGTGGCTTTGGCATTCCTGGAAGGTCCTGTGACTTCCAGCCCAGGAAGCAATGGACAGTTGCAGCCACAGGACACAGGCAGAAGAGAGTGCTGGGACCTCAGAGCAGCAGCCCAGCAGAAAGAGGCTGGCAAGAACCAAGGGGCTGAGGAAGGCTCTGGCGCCAGAGTTGGTGTGGGTGGCTGGTTGGGGGGCTGGGGAGGTTATGGAGCCTGTTCTGGGGTCAGTGGCCTATCTGGAGGTGGGGGAGCCCGTGCTGAAGTCAGTGGCCTGACTGGAGGTGGGGGAGCCTGTGCTGAAGTCAGTGGCCTGATGGAGGTGAGGGAGCCCGTGCTGAAGTCAGTGGCCTGACTGGAGGTGAGGGAGCCCGTGCTGAAGTCCGTGGCCTGACTGGAGGTGGGGGAGCCCGTGCTGAAGTCCGTGGCCTGACTGGAGGTGGGGGAGCCTGTGCTGAAGTCCGTGGCCTGACTGGAGGTGGGGGAGCCCGTGCTGAACTCCGTGGCCTGACTGGAGGTGGAGGAGCCTGTGCTGAAGTCCGTGGCCTGACTGGAGGTGAGGGAGCCTGTACTGAAGTCCGTGGCCTGACTGGAGGTGGGGGAGCTCATTTTGGACTTGGTGGCCTGATTGGAGGTGGCGACTAAGGCGTCTGTACATTCAACCTTTTGGAAGGTGAGTACACTGGTCGGCTGGTTTCCAGCAGACAGGAGCTGGCAGGTGGAGATCCCAATGTTGGAGCAGCCTTTCAGCACAAGCGTCTCGGTGGCTGTGGATGCAAGTCGGTGGTGAGGACTCCCCACTTCCCCGCACCCTCCACCCTGCCCAGCCTGCAGGTGACAGCTTTGCAGCCTGCAAGAGCTGGTCTGATTCTGAAAGCCATGCAGGGGAAAGGAGCCCAGAACACCAAAGAGCAGTGGAAAAGGGACTGAGGAGGCCAGGCCAGCACCCCTTCTCCACCGAACCCTAAGGAAATTGAGGCTGAGAGGCGGGTCATGGGCCCAAACTCAAAGTGAAGGCTAGAGCTGACCCTTGGATTGCACCTCCTGGGCTTCTGTACAGCTGGCAGGTGCAGAGCCGGGATCAGGCTTGGCGGCAGCCCTGAGCTCTCCCGGACTTGTGCCTGGCCTCCCTGCCCCTTCTGAGGCCTGCTGTCAGCCCCACTCCTCTGGCTCTGACATCTCCCTACCTGAGTTCTCCCTGAGAAAAGGAAATGCAGAAAGGAGGGACCCAGGGAAAGCCTGGAGTCTTTACCAGAAATCTGAGTTGTGTTTAGCAATGTTTTGATATTAAGGTCCTAGAAAAGGCCTAGGACACTTGCAAAGATGGGGTTATCATAGCAGCACTTTTGACTGAACAGTGACTATGCGCTGCTATTGTCCTGTTAGCTACAACTCATACAGCCCTGTGATGCAGAGGGGCAGAGGGGACCCAGGCTGGTGAAGTGACTCTGCGCTTCCAAATTGCAGGAAAAAAGCAATCTGTTCTTTGATAGCAAGTATCAGAGATGGAGGCTGAGCTACAGTGAGATAGGAAAGTGCATTGCCTGGCACATCCCTACAGCGGTTTTAAAAAAAAGAACTCCTATGTTTTCTTTTCCCTTATACCTTTCCCCTACCCTTCCCACCTTCCCTAAACCTTTAGCCCTTTTCTTCCTATTTCACAATGTCAATTATCTCATTAGAATCTTATGTACTATTATAGTTTTTCACACCAGAGAAACTATTCAGTATTTATACATGTGTGACTTATGTATTTCACTTAGGAGGATATCCTCAAAATGGGGAGCGGAGGAGGGGGTGAAGGGAGGGCAGGGACAAGGGGTAAAAATGAGAACCAAGACCTGTCATGTAAAGGTGCAAGATCCCAATAATGAATGTAACGGTACTGTATACCTAAAACGTACCAATAAACTCAATGAGAAAAAAATACAAATAAAAATAAATAAAATTCCTAGTCATGAAAAAAAAAAAAAAAGAACTGACCTCAGGCAAAAACAAGCAAGAAAAACTATATGTAGGGTAGCTTTGACCCTTCTACTTTCAGCCTCACCCAAACTCCAAGAAAAAGTATTCATCCTTCACACCAAAGGACACCGGGAAGGCGATGAGCAGAAAAAGCTCTTCCACTGCGGCCAGCACTTAGCATGTGCAAAGCGCTGGGCTCCATCACCAGCACCAAAAAGAAAAACAATAAAGAGGCATACGTGCGTCTGAGTGAGGAAAAGAAGCTGTTCTGAGAAGGCTACACCCTGACTCCAACTGGAAGACCTGGAGAAGGCACGGGGTAGAGTCGGGGGACAGATCAATGGTTGCCGGCATCTTCCAGGCAGGAGGGAGGGCTGTTGGGCAGGGCATCGACAGTCTGTCTGAACCCCTCTGGCTCACAGCAGAGTCAGCACAGGGTCACCAGTTGTTCCGAATGTACCACTCGGGGTAACAACCCGGAGACTGCACGTGGCACAGGTGTAGATGAGAAACTCCTGTGCCTTCTGTGCAGTCTTACTGTGAGTCTAAACCATCTGTGGAAACAAATTCTATTTTTAAAAAGAAGTAAAAGGAAATTCACAGCAATTTCTTTGCTCCACTGAAAAAGCCATGGTTACAGTGAAGCATTAAAATTGATATTTAACAAAAATTGGCCTCCAGTTGTACTTGGGTGTTGGTGCTCTTAAACTCTCATTACTCCGAGCCGTGTTTTGGTTTCTGTTTTAGGTTCTGTGTCATCCTTTTCCTTCTGGGCATCACGGACCATATTTCCCTGCACTCCTTATGGACAGGCGGCCCTGTAACTGGGCCCCAGCACAGGGAACGCAGGTGGGAACCATGAAAACCTCCGGCCTTCCCACTGCCCCTCTTCCCTCCCACTGGTGAGAGGCAACAGACACAGCAGAGAATATCAAGTCCCGCGGGATTCAGGACCAAGGCTGCAGGACGAGATGCCTTGAACTCTGAAGTGAACCACTGGATTACACACCTGTTACCTGGAGCCCTGAGATGTGGAGGTTGCAGAGTGGTTAGTACCGAGTCACTTTTGGAGGAAAGGACAGCTGGCTGGATTTCAAGGCACGACTGGACTGTCTGCTACATTATCCAAGCGATCGTAAGAGGTGGAAAGTGGGTATAAAAGGAAGTATCCACACCCACAGAATGGTAGCAACCCGGTAGAGCAGTTAATGCCAGGAGTGTGGTGAAGCAACTAAATAAGCATGGCTTGATTTTAAGCCACAGGGGAACAGAGTTTAAGAGAAAGGCAGCTGGAAGAAGCAGCTTTGGACCAAGGAAGCAGGAATAGCAGCAGCTCAAGACTTCTTTAACCACACATCTTATACACATCCTGACCCTTCACCTCCTCATCCTCAGCAATTCTGCATTACCGAGAACTACTGGCCCAAGGAAGGCTGACATGTTTTCAGCCCAAGCCCCATACATGAACTGGAATGCCAAGACATACCATTATGATACTGGGCAATGAGATAGACACACCGTTCTTCTTTGTAACACTTCCGGGGTTTCTCGACACAGGATGTGACGTCAGAGGCATGACAAGCAGGGCACTCTGTGCTGGAAAGATCTTCCAGCGGAGAATCTGGGTACAGAGAGAATCATCACTTGGGAGGGTGTCAGTGCCCTGCCCAGAAGGAAGGGACAGGCCAGAGAAGATGCTGCCAGGGAGATGCTGAGAATGAGCAGGAGCATGCTTGGGGACCTCAGATCCGGCCTTGCAGACACCCTGTCCCATGAGAACGAGACACACCACCCTCACAGACCTGCCCTTGTAGACACTGAGTCTCAGGAACCAGGCTGAGAAGAGAAAGCTAAGGGCTCATGCTAAGGCTAACCTTTAGCTATGTCCTCAGCCAGTTACTCTGAACATCGGCGTACAGTAGTCTATTATGAAATCTTGGGAATAAATGAACACGGGCTATTATTTAATATTACAACTAGGTGGGAAAATACATTGAGAAGAAGCTCTGCTCTTAGTTTACTATATTTTATGGCCATGGCCAGTGAACCTTGCCCTTTGGGCCACAACTTCTCATCTTTGAAAAGAGGGATTTGGTCTAGATTAGCAGTTCTCAAACTGTAGGGCAGGGACCCTGGAGACCCGGTGCAGGAAGTCTGAAAGGTCAAAACCACTTTCCTCTTTGCTCCCCTTATCTCATGTGTAGGGAGTGGCATTTTCCAGAAGGTTCATGATGTGGATACTGCAGCTGACCAGGAGACCTCAGCTTGTTTATTCCAAGCCAGACACTGAGGAGCTCTGCAAAAATATGTAACAAGGAAGCTGCTCTTCGCACTACATATTTTTGTTTTGGAAAATGAAATGTTTCTATGGAAATGGAAACAAAGTGTTTGTAAATAGGGAAGGGTGGAGAGGGTGAACGGAGGGCAGGGGTATGGGGTTAAAATGAGAACCAAGATCTGTTATGTACAAGACCCCAATGATGAATGTAACTGTACTGTATACCTAACACGTACCAATAAACTCAATGAGAAAAAAAAAGAAAATGTGTCTGTGGAAAAGTGTTACCTGCATTAATGTGTGTTCATTGTTATTTTGGAGTGAACTGATTAAGATTCGTGAATTTCTTAGCTTTAGTTTCTAAGATGGTGAATGTTGGTAGGTGAAATCCACATCACAAGGGTTCTTTGGGACCCTCAATACATTTTAAGACTTAAGAGTCTTAACGGAGGACCGGGGACCACATCCGAGAATACCAATGAACACTGCATGCCCCCGTCAGCACTCATCAGTCCTTGTGATATCTGTCTGCATGGAGAAAGCAGTGGTTCTGATCTGCTTGAGCTGGATGTGAGTGTTAGCCAGCTACGCACTGAAGTGCCTGGGCTCCAAACCGTGACACAGGGGCCAGGAGCGCAGATGACAAATGTCCAGGGCATGGAGGACACAGCAGGGGCCACCCACGACCAGCACAAACCCAGGGCCCTGCTGGTGGCACCACACGTCTTTCCTTGGCAGCACTGGCTTTCGAAATGGAAGTGTTCTCCGTCAGACACGTGGACAGTGAAGGCTAGAAGTGAATCCATCTCCCTGCTGCAGCTGGCTGCTGAGCAGAGCATCTCCTGCTGCATTCTGACTTCTCTTCCTACACATGAGCAAACACAGGCTGTCAGGCCCTGGTGAGGGCAGGAGTCCTGACCAGGGACACCTTCAACCACAGGCAGGAAGTGCTGCCTCCACTCAGTGTGGTTTTAGAGACAGTACAAATGGAAAGCTCCACCCATCTGGGGTCTCCTTCCAGAGATTATCGGAGGCTCAGGTCTTGCTCTCGGCAAAGGCGCAGAGGGAGCTGCAGCGGCTGCATCAGGCTGACACCCAGCCCACTAATCAGTCTCAGCCTGTAAGATTGTGAAGCGGACACACCGGGCCTCGCGTGCAGCTGAATACCCACGGTACCACCTTTGCCTCCTGCGTAGACTTGGACAGCTGTCCAGCCAAGCTTTTAGCCACGTGTGGACACTGTATAGGACAGAATCAATAGCAACATTTCCACTGTTGTAGAAAGTACTTCTGGGTGGCACTAGTTTATTTACAAGAAATACAGGGAACTGGATAGCAACTTAAATGACACCACAAAGGGGAACTCAACCAAGCCAGGCTATGGAAAGTGGGCTCATTTCTCCCGCCAGTCAATGGGACCAAACAAAGAAAAAGAAGAAGGAGAAGGAGAAGGAGAAGAAGAAGAAAGCAATTGGAACATTTAAAAAAAAAGAAAGTCAAATTAACAGCTTTAACAGTAAATGCAATGTGGGGATTTTGTTTAGGTTCTAATCCCAACCCATCAACTACCTGTACTGTGATGTCTTTGAAACAACTGAGGAACTGTAAAATGGCTTGGATATCAAGACAAATGAAAGAATTATAGCTAATTTGTGGGCATGATCAGGTGGTAGTTACAGGAACGTTTTCATCAGAGCGGAAGAGTGAGGTATTGAGGGAGACATGAGGCCACGTGCACACACGCCTGTGCTTTAAAACTGTGAAATCCAAGGCACAGGTGCTGTGATTGCTGGCCCAGGACAGCACCTCAATAGCAGTGCACTGCACTTTCTTTCTGCTTCTGTGCCCAGAACTCTCAGTGTTCTGAGGGAGGTGGCTGTCGTGTGGCTGCAATCAGAATGCCTGCTGAGGAAGCCTTACATGGAAGTATGTTTGAGCTACAGGAGAAAGGAAGGATGAGGAGGAGGGAAAGGGGCTGGGAGAGGCAAGCATCTGAGGCCAATTTCTTGCCTAGTAGTTCATCTGAGAGCTGCCCTTGTTTTCACACCCGGAACATGTATGCAGAGTGAGGCTTCGGCCAGGCTTAGCGATATCCAGACACCATGGGGCCCCCCTCCCTTCCTGAGCTGCCCCTGTGAGCCCATCCCTCTCCTGAGAGCCACCTTCATGACCCACTGCCTTGCACAGCCTGGCCCACCCAGCCCTTTTCCTCCCTCTTTGGCTCCTGAAGATGTGATGAGGGGCGCGCACCCCAGCTCACCTAGGAAGGAGTTGGCCAAGGAACTGACACAGGTGGTGCTGGCATGCGGAGGGCATTTGGAGGCCCTGGTGACGGTACAGGAATTAAGTGAATCACACTGTTTGCAGCGGAGGGACTCTGAGGAGAGACACATCGATGTCAGCTAGTGCTGTGAGGTAGACATGGGGAGCACAGGCTCTGAGCCTGCCTGGCACTCAGGAGGGGTAGGATACTACATGAGGCAGCACCTCTGCCTGCCAGGGCTCCCCAGAGTTGATACTGTGACACAGAGCTGTGGGGGCCTGGCCGGGAGTGATGATTAAACTGAATGGTTAAACTGCAGGGTGCACACACACACACACAGGCTGTGTGAAAGTCGAATGGTTAAACAAGTTTAGATTAGTGAAGCATGCTGTGTCTGGCCATGTCCTTTCCCTTCCTCATGAAAAACTGCCCAGCCTTGAGGCAGCTCCTGGCCCAAACTGCTTTTCTCTCCTCTTTCTCTTACACTGAGATTCCACAGGGCATTCTCAGCAGGGTGCTGTTCCTTCTCCCAGAGTCTCCCTGATGGCTGGGTCCTCTCGGTGGAGAAACATCTCCTCTGGGCCCCCTGGTGACTGAACTGTCTTGTCGCTGAGTAATCTCGTCATCCTCCATGATGCCCACTGCCACACAGAGCCAGGCCCATCGCTTTCTCCCACTGTTCACTGTTTCCCAGCAGGAAGACCCAACCTTGACCCACAACCTACCTGAATGGGTCTCCTGCTCCCCCTGACCACGCATGACCCCAGAGGCCTTGTGAGGGGTCCCCAGGGCACCAAGGACAAGCAGACTCAGTGACGTGGACAAAGAGGTCTTTGTTTCAAAGGGGGTCACATGGCTTCTCTCACCTACAGCTGCGATGGCCAGTGCTGTAGTGACCACAGCAGTGAGGATGCCTCTCATGGTGCTGGAACCAACTTCTCTTGAGTGTGGGGTCACACAGCCTTGAGCCTGAAGAGACACAAAGAAGGCAGCCCTAGGGGCTTGCAGGAAGTCCTGTCACACTAAGGAGTCCTAATCCCACTGCAACAAGCCCAGTACCCAGTCCATCTCTGATAGAAAAAAATCTGAATCCTGACAGAGAGCACAGAACTGCAACTTCAATTCCAGCATGCCCTTATGCAAGGTCTGAGTTTCCTAATCTCCCGCAGAAATCTCCAAGCACTGACCAGAAACACAGCTTGGGGCATTTCCTATGGAACCCTTCAGCTGTAAAGCAGTAGACCAATGTCCATTTCCACTGAGGATGAGATCTGTGTTAGATTTCTATTGCCAGGACAAAATTCAAGGAGGAAAGATGTATGTGGCTCATGGTTACAGAGGTTTCAGTCCATGGGTGCCTGGCCCCATTGCTCTGAGCTGGGCCACATTAGCACATTATGATGGGAGTGTGGAAATGAGGAGGTCTGTTGCCTCCTGGCAGCCAGGAAGCAACATGGAAACCCAGGCTGGGCCAGGATCCCTGCATGTCCTTCCTGCCATGCCCTCAATACCCTTGCTTTCTACCTCTCCCAATAGCACCACCAGCTGGTGACAAACCTTCAGCATTTATGGGCCCATGCAGGCATTTAACACCCAAGCCATACAGGATCTGACGGAAACAGCCAGTCTGGGTCCATGCTCCCCTCTCCTCTCCCAAGCACAATGCCCATCTGTGGCTGGGATCTCCACACATTTGCAGTGTGTGCTTAGGGTTCTGTTGCTGCCACCACTACCACATGCAGACGCCTGCTAGCACTTCCATATTCCAGGACCGTGCTTGTATTAATTTCTGCCATTAGCTGGCCTCAGCAGATGGGAACTATTACTAGCACCAAGGTGAAATCAGCCACCAAAAGGGCAAATAACGCACTCAAAATCAGGGTCTCATTCTGGGGAGGTGTCAGAGCTGGGACATGGCCCAGGCCCCCAGCTGCCAGTCCACACTGCTTCCCAACAGAAGACAACTCTCAGGACCCAGGGCCTGGACATGCTCAGCGTACAGGCAGAGTGAGAGACCTGTGCACTCTGATCCTGTGTCACCAACCTCTCTGTGCCTTGCATTCCATACCTGCAAACCGTTTGAGTGACATCTTTGAGGGTCACTAAATCTTCATCACACTTATTAGAAGCCTAAGTCGCAGCTTTTAGAATTTCAATTTGCCCATGTATCAAGCAGCAGAGACAATATCCGGCTCTGTGCTGGGCCCTTCTGTGGTGTCCCTGTAAGTGGTGACCATGAGACACCACGGTGGCTGGAGTTCATGTACTGGTGTTAGGTGCCAGAAACATTGTGTGCTCAGTGGCCAGTGCATTCCGGTCACTCCAGAAAGCCTGCTGGCCAGCATCCTATCCACACCTCAGGAAATAAAATGCAGCCTCCCAGCATAATGGGAACTCCCAAACACACCGGCTTGGAAGGCTCAAACCAGGAACCAGGGCTCCTTTCCAGGGTCTCCAGTCCACAGCACAACTGCAGCAGCCACCTCATCCCCTGAGCCCTGCTTGTGCACACCACACCACACACCATGAAACCGCACACCACACCTTGTGCACACCCACACAGCACTGCCTCTTCACACACACTCAGGTGGGCGTGAATGCCACTTACATTACACACCTCACAGACTGCACACACACTGCATGTCCAGGCTGACCCCTCAGGCCCCCTGGAGGAGCCAGGGAGCTTTCGGGGGCCCTATCAGAGACCCACAGGGGAGAGTGAGGGGTCTAGTTCAGAGCTGGGTCACACAGCCTGTTAGGGGGCCTGTGCTCCCACACGTGGCACCCCACTTTTTCCCTCTTCTCAGAGGAGAAATGGCCTTCCAAACCTTGCTGGTGGGGAAGAGAAATCACCTCCACACAGGCCCAATGATCAGCCCCATCCTCGGGGGAAGTGAGGAGGCAGAGCAGCTGTGACCGGCCCAGGGCACAGAGCAGAGAGGCCGAGCCCAGACTGAAGCCAGGGGCCTGCTGGCCACGTCTGTGGGTGAGAGGGAGAGGTGAGCTGAGACCAAGGCAGGGCCAGCAGGGAGCAGGAGAAGCAGCGCCTGTGTGTACCTGTCCCCGAAACACCTGCCACTTGCAAAGTTCAGTGGTCAATTCTTCCAAACAACAGGCACAGTCCGACCATAACTGCTCTCTTTTTACAGGGAAGCTCAGCTCAAAAAGGACCGGAGACCCCGCGCCGCCCAGAGCAGCACACGGCAGGGTGAGGGCTGGCCAGTTGTCAGCCCCGGTTGTCCTCCCCCGCAGCCTCCCCTCTCCGACCCCAGCACGAGACTGGGTGCCCTGAGGGTCCCTCCGGGCCTGACCCCTCACCTTCATCTTCTGGGCGGGCCTGGACTCTTCCACAGAAGGAGGCTCTGGAAGAGGCCCGGCAGGTGTGGCCACGCCATACATCGCAGGTGGCTGGGCGGAGCCTCGGGCTGGCAGACAGTGCCCCGCCCAGCCTGGCACGCAGGCAGTTTAACCCTGAGGACGTGTGCAGTCCTTGCCCTCTCTGGGGCCTCCGGGAATTGGAAGTGACTTCGGCCAAGGGCTGCCGGTCAGATTGTCAGCGATGCTGTCCAGCGTCGGCGATGGTCCACGCGGTCAGCTCCACTACCTGAGACATTGATCAGATTGCCTCGTCCCCGACCCAGGTTTCCCATCCTGTGGCCAGTGGGGGGTCCTAAGGGCCTGGATTGCTTGTAAGATGTCAGGAGAAATCCCTGCCCTAAAGCAGGCCTTCCTTCCGACTGACCAAGTCCAGGGCCAGCCCGGCCCACTCTTCACCTAGGAGACGCTGAGCATGCCTGGCAGCCTGGCTCCAGCATCTCCATCTCGGGGAGCAAGCTCTCCTGTCCTTACAACCAGCTCAGGCGGGACACTCCTGGTGTACATCCAGAGCCACGGGCTTCTGCAAGAGTTTCCCAGAGACATGTAGCACAGAGCTATCATGTCACAAGGGCTCAAAGACAGTTGCTACTGCATGGCCGTGTCCTCTTGGGCTTATACCAGTGTCCTGCAGCCTAGGAGCCTCGTGCCACCCAGGGCAGTGGTTTAAGGTGAGGCATGACCTCAGAGCGCATTTCTGCCCCCCACCCACCGTGAGTTTGGAAGATTGGACATTGCTAAGTCTCCAGTTCCCTTAGCTGAGAGGAAGGGATAGCTATAGTATGCACACTAAAGATGAACTGACCACTTAGTGCTTTGTAGTATTGTTCCTTCAGGTAAAGTGACTTGGTACAAACCCAGAAAAAATTAAGGGGGAAAGTTGACTGTGCCCTCTGCACAGTGCCTCCATATTTGGCACAAGAGAATTTTCATACTGCTTTTAGTGTCTTATCAACCCAGCCACGGTCACTCAGCAGGTCTTGCTTCATGGCAGACAATGTGTCTAGGATTGAGCCACTTAACCACCTCGGGAATCTGCAGCTAAGGAGCTTCTGCATGGCAAAGAAAATCAACAAAGTGAAACAACAATCTGCAAAATGTGAGAAAGGATACACAAACTGTTTATCGGACAAAGAACTAACATCTAAAATATATAAAAAACTAAAAAAAATTTAATTGCATAAAGACAAATTGTCAAAAAATAGGCAAGTGTTATGGCTTTTGTCTAGATGTCCCCCCAAAGCTTCATGTGGTCATAGGTATGGCTTTTTCAGAGGTGGCTGGATCTGGAGTGTGTGATGCTGGAATTAAGGGTGTAGGACTACTAAATCAGTCCAATGATTGGCTTGACACCCACCCTAAGCCTAGTAGCCAAGATAGGATACAAAAGGGGCAGAAAGACGCTGCTAAGGTCACTTGGACTTACTGCTTGCTGATCTTGCCTGCTTGCTTGCCATGGATTGTTTCTCCTTTGCAATGCCCCTGTGCCTTGGAGCCAAACAAAGGACTGGCTTCAGCATGTCACCTTCAGGATCACCCTCAGGACTTCACAGTCCGGGGCTCAGGGTCAGCACTTTGGCCGCCCGTCCTCTTGTGCCTCAATACCTCCCCATCTCTAGGAACATCTAATTGTTCCTAACCTTTCCTGGGCCCAGAATACAATTCTACAGATAATGAACAAATAGTAATAAAGACAAAATAGAACAGAATTATAAATGAACCCAATGTCCCCAAACTGCAGGCAGAGAGGCCAGCTATTCTCTTCACGTCTGACTTCGCATGCGGTGTGTGCCAAGGACCTCCAGGAGGCTTAACCCCGTGGGGACGATACCTCTGGTCTGGTTTCTGCCAGGTGACCGGCATTGTCACGCAGACTCCACTGGAGTGGTCGTGGCAACAGTGACAATGTGAATGCTAGATATGTTTGAATTTTTTATTCATACGTGATTGCAGAACACGCAGTTTACAGTCATCTTGGGGACTGGGTTCGTGTACATAAATCAGCTTGGTTCTTTTTTAATCACCTTCCCCTACCCTCCTGTCTCCCTTCCTCCTCCTCCTCCTCCAAATCCCCTATTTTTGCTCTTGTTGATATTATTAATCTTAGCTCTTGTTTATGACATGAAATGTTTAGGTTCATTGAAGTCCCATTTGCAAGAGATCCGTCCTCTTGTATCATTCTATCTGTTCTTTATTGTGTTCTTTGTTTGTCCTTGGCCTTACTCAACTGAGAGATACTGTATGGTATTTAAACTTGTTTCTGATTTATTTCACTCAATATTACATTTTTCAGGTGCATCCATTTTCATACAAATGTCTCAAATTAGTCTTAAATTGCCTTCCTGGAAACCCAGGCTGGGGCTCCTGTCTCCCTGCCTTGGCAGAAAGGCAGTAGCATAATTTCATCAGTGCCAGTTTGCAAAGCAAAAGAGATTTCACATGGACCAACCTCACTTTCTTTCTTTAGAACTTTAATTCCATTCTCTGCTGAGCTTCTGCTCTACCCCTCTCAGTTCCCTCATTCTCCCTTGAAAATACTCCATCACCTCTGCACCGAATGCTGCTGGGTCCATTGCCCTGTCTGCCTTCTCTACTGTGACCACATATTACTGGTTAAAATCTGCCCTTAAACTTATGATGTCCAATGCTGCTGTCTTGAGCCGATCCCCATCCTGACACTGGGGTCACCCAAGGAATGGTGGAGACTGACTATAACTAAGCATCAACAGCTATCCAAGGCCCTAGGCTGCTGACAGGTGAGGCCCTCCATGTTGACCAGGCTCTGCGGTGTACACTGCGGGCTGGGGAGATGCCACAGAACACAAATGGGAGAGACAACATGGTTACATAAAAGTCTACACAGTGTAGACTACAGTCTTACTGACTCACCTAGTGCATGGATACTACCTTAAGAAAGGGGCAGTGGGTAGTTTTGAACCACTGGGACCACACCCCAATGTCAGGACCCCATGGGAGCTACCTGATCAGCACCCAAACACCGGAATTGTGGCTGGCAGAATCCTCTTTCCCCTCTGAAAGTTCTGATAAGACTGTAGAAATGTGGAGAAGAGGGAAAGTCCAGAGACTTCCCCAAGGACCCTTAACAAACACTGGGATAAAAAGAAGATAGAATAAAAAAGAAGAAACAATTGCCAATCGCTAGTGTCACAGAAGCATAGCAATCCACACAACAAGCTTCAGGATCTTGAAAAGCTGTGTGTACCTTCTCTGTGTACTAAGGTGTACGACTTAAAGTCTCACTTCCACTCCGTGGAGCGTGAACAGCTGAAAGGCCTCCATGATGCTGAGTCCTATAGCCCAACGAGGGCTCCGGACACAAGGCCCAGGGCCTTACTTCCGGAAGCCATGAACAGCCAAAGGGCCTCTGTTAGGGAATTGATCATGTTAAAGTATGCTGTGATGCCGCCATCACAGGCTGCATTTTCCTGGTGCTTCTTGGCTCTTAGAATGACTTCATGCTCTTATCTTTGTTTCCCTGCCACCAAGGGCACAGCAAGACAGAGAAGTTGAAACCTGTTTCTGCAGAACCCATAAAAGACAACCTGACCTGTGATAGGTTAAAAGTAGCCCACTCCTCATGAATAAGCAATAGCCCAGCCCAAAACCAATAAAAGGACCTTACTGTCTTTGTTCTTTTCTCTTCTTCTTCCTCCTCTCTCTCTCTCTCTCTCTCTCTCTCTCTCTCTCTCTCCTCTCTCTCTCTACGCCCACCCCTTGAATAAAATCTCCAGTCGGACCTCTCAATGTGTGTGTGTGTGTGGCCTAGTTGTTGAGTGTCACTATTCCCTTTCAGCCTCCACAATGCTGGGACCTATAGCTCAGCAAGTCTCTGGGAGTCACCCAGGAAGGAATACACCAGGCTAGATGGTAAACAGACCTTTATTAGTCTGGCCACGCATCACTCCCAGAGCCAAGTAGCTCAGAGAGGCAACTGCTCAGGGGCTGAGGTTGTTTTATAGAGTTTTTCTAAACAAAACAGTTCAAACATAGGTCAGGACATTCACAGAACTACCAGAGGACAAGATTCCAAACATACTGCTTATCTCATGCAGGAAATGTTTGTTCTATGGTCACCTTTTGTCATACCATTTGTCCCTGAGTGGGCTGTTAACCAAGTTAGCGATTAGCATATGAAGAAGCACAGTCTCTGGCCTATTAGCATGGAGTCACTTTAGCTCATTCAGTTCTCACAAAGGGAGTCAATGCATTTGGGAGAAACCATGCTTGGCTTGTGATTCTAATAAAATATTTGGAGGTGTTCTGTTAATTTTATAAACCAGGTTTGTATATTTGGGGAGACGTAACTTGTTACATCCACATGAAGATACTCAGATGATCACTGGTGCATTATTGTTTAAAAAGTCAACTGATGTCACAAGATTACTGAAATGGGCTCTAAATAGCCTACATGGGCTTCATGTATTACAAAACCTCACCATTGGTGAATTGTAAGCATGCCAGGTATGATAAACAGCTTTCTCTTTTCTCCTCAGGAAGAGAGAGGTTGGGAGGAGGAAGATCCTAGACCACTGAGAAGAGATGGACTGCGGAGGCTCAACTGTGCTTCACCATACGATGGATGGCAGCCGGGAGGAGCCAGTCCTAGGGCCGAGTTCATCCTCTAGGCACACAAGGAGTGGGGCAGACTGTTCCATTTCTCCCTTCAGGAAAAGCAAGCTGACCCTCCTCCTTGTCACATGCCTTAATCCCACTTGGAAACTTCGCAAAGAGAAGTCTTATCTCGGAGCGGGAAAAGAAGAGCAACAGCAGAACTCAAAGGGCAAGGCTGCTGGGTGGGAGGGAGCAGCAGTGGCCCTGATGGCCAACCTGACTTATGACCTGCTGCACCCTCTAAAAACACTCCTTTATCCCGAAGGCTGGGGTCAGGCCCACGCAGGGTGAGGCAGAAGGTCCGCCACCTCCCACACGAAGGAGTGGTGTAAACAAAATACCCAGATGTTCTCCTCCATGTTGACCTCCAGGGCCCCCAC